GGACCAGGGCTAACAGCCCCAAACTGAACCTGGACAAAACAGAGATTTTGCTCCTGGTGGGGACATCCAATAGGTTAGAGGGGATGGTCCCTAGGTTGTATAGTACTCCCCTCCAGTTTAGAGAACAAGTGCGTAATTTATTTTTATTTATTTATTTATTTATATCCCGCCTATCTGGTCGGGTCAGGACCACTCATTTGGGCATTATTCTGGACCCAGCTCTCTATTTGGAGTCCAAGACTGCAGCCGTCTCCAGATAAGTCTTCAATCGGCTTAGGCTAACTGCCCTATTTAGCCCCTACCTAGATGAGGTGGGCATTATTCTGGACCCAGCTCTCTATTCGGAGTCCCAGACTGCAGCCGTGTCCAGATCAGTCTTCAATCAGCTTAGGCTAATTGCCCAATTTAGCCCCTACCTTGATGAGGACTCCCTTAGGGTTCTGGTGCACGCCCTGGTTAACTCCCTGGTTGACTACTGCAATGCCCTCTATGTGGGGGTTCCCTTGAACCTGATCTGGAGACCTCAGTGGGTCCAGAACGCAGCCGCAAGACTCGTGGTTGGTGCAAGTAAATATGATCACATTACTCCAGTTCTGGATCCCCTCCACTGGTTGCCCATGGTGTCCCAGATCAGGTTCAAGGTTTTGACACTCACATACAAAGCCCTTCATGGATTGGGCCCATGTTATTTGCCAGAGCGTCTCTCCTTAATGTAATCTGCCTGACCCACAAGGTCATCCAGTCAAGGCTCCTCCAGGTGGCTACCCTGAGGGAGGTTCAGGAATCCTCCAGAAGAGGTCGTGCCTTCTTTGTGGTGGCTCCAACTTTATGGAACCAGCTTCTGGATGAGCTCCATATAGCCCCCTCCCTATGGACTTTTAAGAAGCAATTAAAGACACTGCTTTTCAGGGAGGCTTTCCACACCAACCCCAGCTGACCACCTTCCTCCTCCCCCTCTTCTTTTCTCTTCCCTCTTCCTCTTCCCTCCCCTCTTTTCCTCCCTCTGCTCTGAGATTAGTCAGTGCCATCTGGTGTTTTTTCTTTTCTTCTCTTTTTTAAGGGTTTTTGTTATCAGTTTTAAATGTTTCCATTTTCATTTGTGTTTTCTATTTTATGAAATTGTAACCCACCCAGGGAGGGAGGGAGGAAGGGAGGAAGGGAGGAAGGAAGGAAGGAAGGAAGGAAGGAAGGGAGGAAGGGAGGAAGGGAGGAAGGG